ATTTTAAAGATCACTTATCACGGTTAGTGATATGGTTTGAGAAATATTTTAAAAATGAAGACACTGATAAATTTGCATGGATTCAAGATCCATTTAACTCCATTGTTCCACCAGAATTTATTTCTACTGAAGAAGAATATCTAATTGAGTTGTCTTGCCTCAGTAGTATGAAATCAACATTAGCAATATGGAATTGACCAAATTTTAGATTTCAATAAAATTGAATATCCCCTTGTATGTGAAAAAACTCTACGTGTTTTAATTCCGTTTTCTACTTCATATTTATGTAAAGCTAGGTTTTCGGTGGTCGCTGTGATAAAAAGCAAATATTGGTCAAAAATCAATGTGGAGAAGGAAATGAGAGTAGAAATATAAATTTTTATCCCAAGATTTATAAAACTATGCAGTGATGTCCAAGCTCATACATCTCACTAATTCAATTGTTTTCTACAAATAAACTAAGTCCAATTTACTTTATCTAATAAAATTAAAATTAAATTTTTTCAGTGTATAATTATATAAAATAAATATTTCCATATTATCTATTGAAAATTAAACACGTTTGTTATTTTATCTATTTTATTAAAAAAAAAGGTCGTACAATTTTAATAGGGGCGCCACGAGTAGGAAAAGTTTAGGAATCTCTGATATAGACAATACCTTATACGCGGGATGTTATTTTTTGTGAGTGTGTGCGTTAGTAAACGATTATTAGTTGTGTGTGTGATTTCCCCGAAATAATACGCTCCAACCTTATCAGCAAACGGACTGTCATTAGTCATTACTGTATATAACTGTACAAAACTGTCATTACCGTTGTCGTATGCCGAAAGACAAGTAATATTATTCAATATTATTATTATAATTATTATTTATAAATTCATAATAATTAATAAGTAAAACGCATTTGCAATTCGAGTGCAAGAATCATCGGTTGCCAAATTTTATAAAAAAAGTTTTAGAACGAATATTGATTACATCTAATTATTAATGAATTCAAGATGTATTAGAAATAAAATAAAAAGCTAAAGGTGCTATAATCATAAGTAATAAATTCGTAATTCGTAAGTTTTATGTTAATTATATTTATATAATTTATCACAATAACTATTAATAATAATTATCATACTAAAACTATTGTAGTATTAAACTTTTTTTCGGGAATGCCTGGCCTTATTGGTAATCCACGATCAAAACTAGAATCGATTATTTCTGGAAGTAATGAATCCATATAAAATCTAGTAACAATGCACTGAAACGTCTGAAACTAAACGTTAGATGTGGCTCCTACAAGTAGTAAGTACTAAGTGTCGACTCAATCCATAGGTATTTGCGGCATAATCCTATAGTATGTGAAAAAACTCATTGCAGTAAATATACCAAATAATAAATATAGGTTATTCAATTTATTTGAATTCATAGTAAGACTATATAGGTATCTATATAATATTATTGGTTCGCAGGCGGCTGACGTTGCGCACTAGCATTTAACGTTTTGGGAAACAATTAATAGTTCGCACGCGCATGCACAAGTCATTGCATATGATGAAATAAAATATATTGTTCCGACGTAGAATCTCTGAAAATTAATCAAGCCTGACAAAAAAACGTCAATGTTAAATGATCGGATTTCAATTCTGAAAAAACGATTTGAGTTGATCAACCTTTTTTCTAGGTTATTGTGTAAGATGATTTTAGAACCACTGTTAAACATTTTTAAAAAAGACACTAAAGTAAATCTAAAAATTAAAAAAAAATTGAGAAACTCAAATAAAATTTAAAGACAATTTTTAAACAAATATCAAAAATCGATTTCCACATTAACCTAGAAAAAAGGTTGATCCACTCAAATATTTTTACAGAATTTAATTATGATGATTTTAAGTATGCGCAATCTTGTTAGGCTTTTATAATCGGGAGTATGAAAAATGAGCGTTGGTACCTACTGTTGTAACCATTGGTTCTCAACTTTGTACCGTCACGCTGTTGTTACGTATCATATTCACGAGCACGAATAATGAGCGATAACCACAGATAAAGGTATATGTACTCGTATTTAAGGAGCGTCTAAACACAGGAATGCACCTTTATGCATTCTTCACATGCGCGTAATTTATTCACCACTATCATAATGTTAGGCTGTTATCAATATATTATATCAAATCTCTATAATACGATAATAATATTATTATAATAAAATAAGTTTTGAATCAAATTATTCAAAATTTGAACACACTACATACGTATTTTACACTGCTTCGACCATTTCAGTAAATAAATCATTATATATACCAGATACATTTGAAAAAAAAATCAAAACAGCAATAACTATTTAATATGTTGATATGGTTTTTAATGTTTATTTATATCTACATTTACTCAATTACATATTTGAACATTTCATAAACCAGACTTTATCAAAATTTATTATACAAAGGATATATATTAAATGTTTTATTGAGTATTAACAATACAATTTACAAATATCTTCTTTTTTTTTTTTTTTTTTTTTTAAAGAAATTTACAATCTGTACATAAAAACAAAAACAATGAGTAAATGTGATAAATATTATGAATAACAATGGCATGAATAGCATGATTGGGGAAGAGGCCCATTGGCAACACCCTCATAATTTGTAATTTGGCAATTTATTATAATAGGTCACGGGACCAATTCCTTTTTAAACGTCGTTTTGGGTTTCCAGGTAAAACGTGAGAGGACATATTTTTTATGGGAGTCGAGTTTGGAATATATCAATTTCTTTTTCGAATAATAAGTTATGAAGTTCATGTTTATGTTGGATGGCACCGTTTGCGTTCCTGAGTAAAATGTTTAATGAGGGATGGGATTGGGTGGAGTTATTCATTATTTTTTATTAAAAGTTTGTTGATAACCGTTTTGAGAAGTGAAATAAGTGGATTAATAATTAATTTAAAATCATCTAGGAATGAGGTGAGCTGTTTGGAAAAATAATTAGTGGTTTGTTCATGGATTTTTGTATTATTAAATTCACGAGAGGCATCTGCGTATGATTGAGTGTGAGGCTGATTATTAGTATTAATTTTATCATTTGGGGTGGTGCAATAGACCTCTTTAACAGGTTTGGGATTATTGTTACTTAATAATTTAATATCAGATTGGAAATCTTGGTTAATTTTTTTTTTATTTTTCTGGTGTCTTTGTTGTAGATTTTTATACACAATGCAACCTTGATAATTTGCTGGGTGTTGTCCTTCGCATAGTGCGCATTTTGGTGGTTGGTCGATGGGTTTTAAACAGGCAGAAGTATTGTGGTTTTCCCTACATTTCACACATCGAGGTGCGTGATTATAGTATGTTTTCGAGTGACCAAAATCTTGGCATCTAAGACATTGTATTATTTGGCGTCGGGGGTGTGGCTCTTCAACTTTAATTTTGGTGTAGCATATTGAAGTTAATTTAAATATTTCTTTGTTATTTTAGTCAGGTTCAAGGTCTATGAAAAATAGGGGTAACGGTAGTTTTGTTATTTTATTTTTTACATTTACAACTTGTCTTGCAGTGAATCCGTTTTCATTTAATTCTTGGATAATAAAATCGATAGGCGTGGTATGATGTAAGTTCCGAAAAACGACTCTGTATGGTTTATCTTGTTTAACTTGATAAGTGTGAAAATCAACTCCTTTTTCTTTGAGCAGTTTAGTTACTTTTCGGAATAAATCAGCCGATTTTGTTTGAAGTTTTAGGTTATTGATAAGACTTTTGCAAAAGAATTCTTCGGGACCGATTAATAGTTTGATAGCGTTACAGAAATTTTTGTAGTTTAATTCAGATTTGATAATAATTGGAGGTGGTAATTGTGGTTTGGTATTTGGTAATTCAGACGTTTGATCAGTATCCATTTCCTGATTAGATAAGTTTTCAGAAAGTGGGGCGTAACGATTTTTTGTTGTAAACTGACTTGATGTATTGCTTTGTTTGGTTTTGGGAGACGTAATAGGTGATGGAATGTGCTGACGTTTTTGGGAGTAAGGAGACATTACCTATGTCCAATCAACAGATGATAAATCGTCCGGGTCGGTGTTTATTATTTCGTTTTGTTTAATTATTTGATTGCCATTTACAATTTTAATTGGAGTTATTGGTTTGTTGTTGTATGGCTTCTTTTGTGGTGACGAGCGCGGCAGCGTATTATTTTGGTTAGACATTTTGTGCAACGGTAATTAAAAATGTGATTTTTCTTACTTTGGGGCTGCACAGACCCCCGTAGTGGGTAGGACCTGAAATACTAGTGATTCGTCTTTTTTTCCCCTTTTCAACGGTTTTAATTTTGTTAAAATCGACAAAGTTGTATTAGTGAAACATAAAAAGAATCGCAGACGTTTAATAAACATGTGTGCTCGATAAGAGCTGTGCACCGAATGACAAATATCTTAAACATAAAAATTATCTAATATCTATATAAATTACATTATCTTAATAGTAAGTACAAGTATGAATTATCGAAACCAACTAGTGTATTTAGTGTGCCGAGTTGTGAGTTCAACACGGTTACACAATATTAGGATGTAAGGATTTTAGATTTAGATTAATAACTTTATCAAGAATACTTATTACGGTATTACTGATATTTTATTTAACAATTTTTAATTTAACATCAACATAGACAAAGTAAATGATAGTAACAAATATAAGCGGAGCCTATATACTGGATGGCTGGATACATTTGGTTGCTAATGCTGTTTCGCAAATTTTACCTATTCGAGATTTTATGATTCGCACGTGGTTCATATTACTTCTATTAATTTGTTTATGGTTATAATTGTAAATACTTGGTTACTATAAAATACGTATGAAAAAATATAATGTATACATAGTACATTACACTAGAGTTGAAACTAAACATCTCAATAATATACTACTACAAAAAAAAATTATAACGAAACTGAACATTATTATTTAACAACTAAAATAAAATTACAATATATTATTTACATAGGAAGTATGTAGTTAAATTTTGAATAATTAGATTCATAACTCATATTATTATAGTGATTTGATATGATATATTGATAACAGCCCATAGAATAACTCTATGTAACAGCTTAACATTATAATAGTGGTGAATAAATTACGCGCATACGCAGAATGGTTAAGTTGCATTCCTGTGTTTAGACACTCCTTGTATTTATAGTATATATAAATTGTATTTATATATCACTGGCGATAACATGAACAACATTAAAGAGCGTAGATTTGATAACCACTTTAGAAAAACAGCCGCGGCTAGCGGCTAGCCGCTTGGCGCATGACGAGTAGCGATCATTTTTCGTGCTCCCGACTTTAGGTCTACAACGTGAAATAAATACGCTGCTTCCAACCACCTTAAACACATAAGACATAGAAGGACAAATGTGGTTTTTACATACAACATGCGTTTATCATTGAATCATTGAAGATTAAACAACTAAAATAAAAACGATTTCATAAAATATGTGACAAGTGTGGTTTTTACAATCACCGATTCATTTGAAATGAAGGGAGGGAGGGGCTGAAGCTCAGGTCTGGATGCTTTTACGTCGTAACAAAACACATAGTGAAATCATTAGTTTTTGAGGGGGCCGTAGCAATTTTAGGAGACGGTAAGCCCCCCCCCCCTATTTGCGTCTACGAACACACGCGTTTCAATCGTGTGTGATTTTTGCAAACTATAATAGAAAATTTATACATAAATGCAAAATATAACCTAACCTCAGGCGTGGATCCAGGGGGGTCATGACCCCCACCCACTAGAAAACATCAAGATTAGGTTCTTCGTGTTTATTTAAAAAATTAAAATATGCATAAATGGCGTTTTTAATTTTTTTTCAATTAGATTTTTTCTTGCAATAAAAATGTTATACAACATATTATATTTATATACATTTAAACTATATCACCACTTGTTCATAAAATCATAATTTCACCATCCAACTTCTAAGAATATTTATAGTGATTATATACTTACTGATAGACTATAATATTGTTGGTGAATAAATATAAATATAATCTGCGGAAATTTTTGAGTTTCGACCTTCGACGGAAAGTTAACTTATCTTAGATAAGATTACTGTCAATCCGTTGGCTGGTACCGAATTGGTTCTCGAGCTCCAATCCAATGTCCCGAATTGGTTTTCGCCTGAAAAAGCTATTTTATTAAGTATAGCCAATTTGGTTCCTGTTTAAAAAAGGTATTTTATTAGGTATAGCCGAATTGGTTTCCGTTTATTTACGCACATTTTCCTTCTCAATTTTACAGGTTTAGAATTATCAACTTTAAAGTAGGCTTGGTTAATGTGCGTTAATGTATGTTAAAAAAAAATGATAAAATATATACAATTTTAAATCGTTGGTTTGGAAGTCAACTAGTCATCACTTAGGTGTACGAAATACAAATAATAAAATATAATACGAGTAAATACATTTTAAAAACACTGATTTGCAAATTTGAATCTAACTTTCTTTAAATATACAATTCTCGTAATTTTCTCTTTAATGCACTTAGTCATATAATTTTCCAAGTATTTGTTATTTCTTTCCTGTTTGCTAATAATTCGCTAGTCTCTAGTAATCTATATTATATCTATTATATTTCTATACGCTATCTTATTGATATAATAATTATGTCTATATGTCATACATATAGTTTTTAAAATTTTGTTTTTTGCTCTCTATGCACTGGCCCACCTAACTTGTTCACAAACGGGAACCAATTCGGTTATTCCTAATCCGTTACCCGTATGTTTATATTATATTATAGGTATCATATACTTGCTATGGCACCGCTAATCGCTAATTTAGGTTCTAATAACTTGTTAAAAAATATTATAAATGCGATCATTCTCTACTTTCAGGCGTCTTAAGACATGGCTTCGTTTAAACATGGGAAAGGAACTCAATGTTCACAAGAATGTACCCATAAATGTTAATAATATTATTTCTAAATTTGGAAAAATAAAACAAAGAATATTAAACTTTGTTATTTAATTTAAAAATTAACAATTTCATTTATTCATAACGTTCTAATTTGAATTAATAATTTACTTTTATTATTTAGTAATTGTGTATTATCTTTTTGTACTTTCGAAAAAATGACCCCCCCAATTTGAGTTCTAAATCCGCGCCTGTCTAACTTAACCTAACACATAGGAATTGATTTGTTTGATTTTCGCATTGATCATGAACGAGACAAGTAATTTCCTTTGACGTACCGCCAATTCGGTGAACACAGAACACGTATGTGACGTATGTATTTTTGTATACCATGTGGACATACGTTTTGGTTAAATATATAAATAATAACCTACTTATACGTACCGTGCGTTGTGTATAAAGTGATATATTTAAAAAGAACAATATAATACGAAGTAGTGTGAACTGTTTGATTAAATAACCGATAATAGTTGTATCCTAGAAATTTCCTGATCATATGGATTTTTTCAAGAAGAAATAATCCCATGCCGGAGCCTAACTTATACAACAACAAATAACAATTGAATCAGTGCATTAATATAAAATCCTATTATTACGTTTTGAACACGTTTGTCTACTCCCCCGAACTAATTATATACGTATATATCGCATGGCCATTCCTATATAAACCTGCGACATGCCATAACCTACAAGATTCAGTGTTTGGTAGCCTATTCTTGCTTACCCTCTGCATTTGCGTGTTTCTTATCTAACGCAATAATATATCGTCTTCGACTCATCATGGAAATCGCCTTGTTGAATGCTGTTCGCCAAGATTTCGGTCGGAGTCGATTCATTGCCCTCGTGTATCATTTTTGCTAACATCAATCGCTATATTATTTCAAGATAATCGTACCATTCGATGATTTTGTGGTTTTAAAACTCAGGCCATCCATTTAAATTAGGGGTCGTAGTCATACATGGTTATTAGAGTATACGTGTACCCGCGTTACTTGTACACGTGTATTAAATCTATTAATACCCGTGTTTTCAATACACGGGTATTTTTTACTGATACACGTGTATTTAATGACTGTTACCTGTGTACTTAATACTATCTCGTATGTATTACCCGATAAGTAAATATCAGACACACGTTTAGTTATTAATTCAGGGTAAATAAAGGTATATTATATAATTATTCAAATATTGGTATGAATCTTGTTTGGCTTTCACAGAAATTGGCAATTTTTTTTAAACTAAGTGGATATTTCACTCTTATAAAAATTATTTTAACTTGAATACTTTATTATACTTACTTATAATTACTTAATATTTTGACTTATTCTAACATAATTTATATAAAATATTTTCTATATATGCCATCGCTCCGGCGCATACGAATTGCATCCATAAATGATATTTTGTCCGAGTTGCATCTCCGGTTTTGTCACGACATATCCGAGTTGCATCCGCGGTTTTCTTGGGCCATGGGTTTTTCAGCAACTGTGAATATTGTTTGGTGATAAACTCGTACATAATCTCGATTCTCATCAATATCTTATCTGTAAATACCACCTTAAAATTTATTGTTGGAAATTCATTTTGTTCATGTTAGCATTAGTCTTACTTCGTAATCCATTACATTGTGCACCAAATATAATTTATGCAGACTTTGAACAAGCAATACACTCAGCCATAAATGGTTTAGCCACTTATTAGACTCAAAATCGCCTGGAATGGTCTGGACGTATTCAAATATTTAAATTCGGTCAGGTTATTTTAATACTACTCTTGTTGGGCACTGATAATACTATTTGTATATTAAATGAGTTCTTAATTAATCAATAAAATAATTTTTAGATTTTTTAATAAATAATAATAAAATTCATAATACAATTGCTATAAAGAAATTTAATATTTAATAATAGATAAATCTCAATTATTACAATACAAAAACATGGAGAATAAAATACACAGGTAATGTCGGGTACACGGATAATGTCTGGTATTTGGCTATACGGGTAATACGGGTGAACAGGTATTTACAAATACATGTGTATTTTATTTACACGGACCTTAATCCCATTTCAGATAAGAACACGTGTACCCGTGTAATTCATTACACGTGCTATGGCATACTAATTTAAATACACCATTGTTCGCATATCGACCTATAACTGCAATTCCATCGGAAATCGCTACCAGATTTATATCAAAATTGTGTATTCTTTTAATTGCCGTATAACTGTTTTAACACGATATTCAACGTCTTGGAAACCTCAATTCTGGGACAGCCTTTGATCCTTTAAACCGGTGGTGTATTGGGTGATTTTTAAAATGTCAAGTGATTAGAAAAAAAGTAATATGGTTGTTTCAATATTTTTATTTTATACTATTTTAAATGATCGTACTTAAAAGTAACTCTATTGTCAAAAAATTAAAAAAAGTAAATTTTAAAAGTAATTTTTTTGTATAGGTTATTCGACAAAGTGTTTTTGAATAAGAAATTACACTAATGGGTAATCTGTAATGACAAAAAGAATCTTTATAGGTTAAAAAGATTTTATTTTAAATATGTGTAGCCCCTCTTCATGTACACTTAAGTGCAATTTAAATATTTAAAATAGAAATTTAAGAATTTTTCTAATTAAAATTATCGCAAATTTAATAAAAATTGTCAAATGCAAGTTTAATATTTTTTTGTATCATTTTTTTTTTCAAAATTCTACGAGTGATTTAATGATGCTAATATTTGGCGCACGTGGTTCTTTGGAATAATTTAAATTAAGAATTTTTAAACTTTTTGTTATTTTGTTTACCATATTTTTTTTATTTAGTAAAATATTTCAATAACACTCAAATCCGTCAAACCACTCAAATCTGATAATGAATTTGAGAATTTTTGGATTCAATGTTTTTTTTTTTTGAGTTTTTTATGGTATTATTAAAGGTATATCTTTTTATACCCAATTGTATTTTGTCACTGTTTTTTATAAATTTTATAAACTTTTTAATATTAAGCAAGGCCGTATCTGAAGGGGGCTCCAGGGTGTTTGGAACCCTCGGAATTTCTTCAATATTTTATGAATGTTTAAAATACTTAATTTTTAATAGCAACATAATATTTTCAGTCAAAAATGACTTAAGTTCCAATTAATAATTGATTGCTTATAATCTTATAACATTTCATATGAAAATATATTAATTTTAATAAAAGAAGATTAAAACTTTTTCTGTATAATTTTAACCATATATCAAAGGTTAAATCTAAATTCAATTAAATTACAGTACATGTTTTGGACCCCTCCCTATGAATATCTAGATACGGCCTTGATGTTAAGTATAAAACTATCGGTATAAGATATTTTTCTATTTAGTTCTATTCATAAGTTTGATACGACTGTATCAGCTATAACCAGTGGTGTATATTGGAGGGTATACGAGGGTATACGGCGTATCCCAATAGGCTATTTTTATACATGGCGTATAGCTTATAAGAAATTGATGATCCGCAGGTATACGGCCGTATATAGCGTATAGTTTGTAATTTGACAAAATACATAATACCTTGTACTAACCTAACTTGTGGTTATATTTATGACGTGATTCGGTATTGGATATATTATTATTTTTCCTTTTTTTTTTTTTTAATGAAAATTTCTAATTTGTTATCATTTAACAACAAGTTTCTGTTATCAAATTGTCATAATTAATGATGTGTAATTCATGAGTGAGTTTTTTGATTCCTACCATATGATAGTTACTACATGAAATAAAGCGTATAACTATAATTTATTTTAGCGATACATCACTGGCTATAACACTTTCGGATTTTTTTTTATGTAAACTCTTTTTATTAGTTTTTGCAATTATTACAGTTATGGAATCATATATTCGGCAATTTTGAATATGATATTGTAAAAGTTGCTATACTGATATTTATTGTTAAATAACTTATAACATCATAACATAATCATAACATGATATTAGCATAATATGGTAACGATAATGTTAACATTGAATATCTGTATTAGACATTGAACCTACTTTATTATTTTGATATTTATTAATTATATTAAACATACAATTTGAATGCCATGGTAAATAATATTTTTTTTTATTTTTTTTTTTTTTTTTGTTTTTTTAAATGCGATCTACGATCTATACCACGTGGCACAATAAGTAGATGTGAATGAGATTAGTATATATACAGATAGTTAAAAAAAAATACATCGTATCCTTAATAAAATTTGTACATAACACGTGAAAAATTTTGAGAAAAGCAGCCACCCATTAGTAACACTTTAATTTGCCTTAAATTTTTTTATATTGTTTTTTTTTTTTTTATATTTTCAGTTTTTTCAATTAATATTTATATTAATATTAGGCAACAATAGATCACGACACCATTTCCGTTTTAACCGTCTCGGCGGGTTACCAGGGATAGTAGGATTGGCAAGATTTCTGACAAGAGGATTGGGATGGGTTAAAGTGCGGAAGTGGAAACGTTTATAATATGCTTTAGCTTCTTCTGAGACTGTAGGCATTTTAAGATCTGTATGTATAGTGTGATTAGAGACATAGGGAGGGGCATTTACTAATTTGCGGAGTGCGATGTTTTGAAATGTTTGGATTTTGTTTATGTTAGTTTTTTTTGCGTTTCCCCAAAGCTGTAGGCCATATGTCCAAGCAGGCTTTAGTAGAGATTTGTAAATTAGTAATTTGGTATTGATGTGAGTGTATTTATTATTGTTGATGAGGTTTTTAAGTAGTCGAAGGCGTAAGTTTAGATTAATTTTTTTGGACTTAATATGCTGTGCCCAGGTCAGTCTTTTATCCATGGTTAAGCCAAGATATTTAACATTCGAAGCACTGGGAATCAGAGTATTATAAATGAAGACATCAGGGCAAGGGGTGAGTTTAAGGGTGAACGTCGCATGTACCGATTTAGTTTGACTTATTTTGAATCTCCAGTCAGTGTACCACTTCTCCATGAGATTGAGGTGAGATTGGAGATTTTGAGAAGCTATGACGGGATCAGAGTGTATCGAAAAGATTGCCTTATCATCTGCATAATCGGCGACTAGTGTATTAGGTGTCGTTGGTTGGTCTGAGGCAAATATATTGTATAGGGTAGGGGAGAGGATACCACCTTGCGGGACACCGGCTGATATATTTCCTATGGAAGAAAATTCGTCACCGACACGAACTTGAAAGTGGCGATCGGAGAGATACGACTTAATAATAGCGAAGTAAATAGGATGAAGAAACTTTTTTAATTTATACAGGAGGCCATCATGCCATACCCTATCAAAGGACTGAGCAATATCCAGAAAAGCGCTTGTACAGTATAGTTTTTTCTCTAGTGAATAAGAAATGGCGTCGACGACTCTGTGAACCCTGTAAATAATATACATTTTAAATTGTACTACTTTTTTTTTATATGTGAGGCACCAAATTAAAGCAATTTTAGTGCACGATAATTTATTTTATAAATTACAAACGAACGTTCCACGCCTACTGAAGTAATCAGGGCGTATTTAAAATTGTTGATATTGGTCAAATTTTAATATTTCACTTAAACCATCGTGAAGTTTGGCCTACATATAAGATTTATAACCCGCATTTTTCTCGCACATAGTTTCAAATTTTGTTTTTACAAATTTTCAATGAATGCTATGGCAATATTTAGCTTATTGCTGGGATAGTTAAATTCATTCCATTTGTATATATATAGAGGCGGAACTTAGGAGGTAGAAGACTGGGATTTATCCCTGGGTGTAAAATTTTAGAGGGTGTAATTTTTGTAATTATTAATAACTAATATGAAATTTTTAACTTGTTTAGTACTGATATTAGGTTAAAACTCAAGTATGATAATATGTTAATTATTAGGGAAAAATTCTCGAGAAGAGTATTTGATTATTGGTCTATGGTATGGCGTTATTTTAACATTTTCCCAGGGCGTAAAAATTCCTAGTTACACCTCTGTGTGTGTGTGTGTGTGTGTGTGTATATATATATATATATATATATTTATATATGTGTGTGTGTGTGTGTGTTTGTATATTTATATCAATTTACAAATAAATTCAGTTATACACATAAACAATGAGGTATTATATCCAGTGGCGGCTCATCAGGGGAGATATTTGAGACTGCGTCTCCTATTAAAAATTAAAAAACAGCTACTTGTAAATAATTACTATTTAAAAATGTATAGAAATATTTTTATTTTTATTGTAAATATGTTATAGCCTTTTGTTTATTTATTATTATAAATTTAAAGCCCAAAATATAAAACCTTTATAAAATATTTCGATGGAATCACTATTTTAGCAATTTCGACGACGGTCGCCGTTTCAGTGAAACTGACGTTCGGCAGGTTCAATCGTAACACGCAGGGGTGGATCCAGAGGGGGGTGAATGGGGCGATCCCTTCCCCCCCGTTCACCGTAGCAGACTTAAGTTTTTAACGTAATTACTTCAAAGGTAAATAGGAAATCTTCAACTATTTTTTTATACCAAATTTATGCTGGTTCTATGTTATCACTTATATTTATTATTTGATGATATACTAATAACACAGTTATATACTACTATCATGATGTTAAATATTCGTAATCAAGTTTTGTGTTTATCGGTGTTTCCGAAACGTGATAACTGATAACGACCAACGTAAAAATTGTTGGACACCTCCATAATCAACAAATTTGTAATTATAATCTTTATTGTTATGACACATTGGTATAACTTTTTTTATTTAAATTAATAACCTATGTCAAAATTAATATTTTTAATTTTATCTATAAAAATACCTATATCATGTGTGCCCGTTGAAAATCCTCCCCTCCCCCCGTTATCTTGGTCTGGATCCGTCACTGGTAACACGTAATGGTTTGGTTTATTTGATGGGGGGTCCGCGGAGAATGATCCGCGTATTATTATTGAAACTGGGTTCACGACAATAATTTCCGTTCCATCGCACCGTCGTTGATTACTGTACACCGTCATCTGCGAATTTGCAGATAAAAAATTGCAGAATTGAATTAGTTTATAAAAAATTTTACAATTAAATTAAGTTCAAAATATTTACTTAATATTAAATTTAGTATTAAGTAAAATTAATTGTTCGATAAATGGGTTTTTCTTGTTCGTTGTTGTATGGAGTTTATGTTAAATAATTTGAGTCTTCCCAGTACATTTACTACGAGCCGCTACTGGGTATATCCCTAGTTGCCACGTTTAATGACGCGATGACAATGATTCGGCGGCATGAGTTTAATAACCGACGTGTTTTAATGTAAAAAAATATTTACCTCTAGATTAAATTCACTGTACTTGAAACGTAAAAATGAGTCAATATGCTCTAAATTCAATTGCAGAAATTTGTCTTATTTATTAATCATTTATCAAATTATCATTTTTGCCTAGAAAAGCGGCATAATTTCTAATGAAAATGTTTGTATTTTAGACCTTTATGTTTAAAGAAAAATTTATATTTTACTTATTCTACAGTTTTTATTAAAAAATAAGCCAAATGCAACAAGTTTCGAACCCTAATAATAACTAAATAACAAGGGCTGAGATTTTAATGGAATTCATTTTTTTTCTTGATATTCCGACACAGGTCCATGAGAGCGAAAATGTGTTTTAAGTGATACTGATTAATGTAGTTTTTTGCTTTTTTAACAAACATAAGGTGCATTTTTATGCATATTATACTGTTTTTAGTGTATTTTTAAAGTTTTTAGAGCATTTTCAGAATTTATGTATTTATTTTTAAATATAAGGTATAATAACGCTTTTCGGCGTCTGTTCACTCAAAACTTAAGGATGATTCACACTGAACCGAATCTCGCAGGCCGGCACTGGATCGCACAGAGCCGTACCGAACCGACAAATTATTAATCAATTATAAATTAATATGCTAATTTACATTTAAATTACCGGCACCGCGCAACATTAACCGGACCGCGCCACACCGACCAACATTGTGTGAAAGTGTCCGTGTCGTTGGTTTGGGTTTTTTAATTTTTGGTTGTTTGTTCTTCGTCCTATCGCCATCTTGGTTAAACTTTTAGTGGACAAGTACCTAAACATGGTTTTTCATTTTATTTGCATAATAAAGTTTTAAAACTGTTATATTGAAATAATTTGTTTTATTTTATTATGTTGCATTAAGTTTTAGAGTATAAATCTATAGAATTTTTTTCATTTTGATATAAGTTCCTTTAAAAGTTATTTTATTTAAAATTAAAATTGTAACATGAGTCACTTGCTTAACAGTCTTAAAACCAATACCCACCTGGGCCTTCAGGGCCTCGGTCCGCCCTTGCCCAATGTATTATATTATAAAGTTTCATATTTCCTAACGTATCTATGTTTAATTAATTATAACTCCTTAAATTAAATTCTCCTAGAGCTCTTAATATACTTAAATTCATGTGTTTTGTATCCTAAATCAAAACTAATTTCTGTACAAATATTATTTGTTACAATTTTGATCATAATTGAAACAGGTGTACTGTATGATTTTTAACAATGTGCAACACTAATCAAATTGCTTAACTTTTTTATTGTGCATGACTTGAAGTTTTTAAAATATTTACACTTGCCTTCAACAATAGATTTAAATTGACCGAATTTTTTAAGTCAATTTGGTCCTTATTTACCGTATCTCTAAATTCGACTGGATGATAGCAAGTTAGTTTCGATTAAAATCGTTGAATTGTTCCAACAATCAACCTAGAATTGTATGAATTATTCAATATCATGTATTTTTTCCCTCCCGTATTCGTAGGTTGCAGACGTTTAAAATCTTTTAAATTTAATTTTGAGGAAACTAAACTTTAATAGATATGCCTTTGACGTAAATGTTAGTTTACTATGGAAAAATGTTGGTCGGTAATCTCGAACTCGCTGTTTACGAATACATATCAATAAGTGTTGCGCCACACAAGCTGTTTTGGCGCGTGGTGAAAACGCATAGGTGCAATGGAGCGTGACAGACTGACGGTTTTGACGTGTATTAACGAGTGACATTGATTATGCACTTTGCTATCAATCGGCGGTTACTCTGCAGCACGTGATTCCGTTCCGTATTTGTTTTTTATACATTTTTTTTACATTCCTTTTTAAAAAAAAGGTTTAGTCGAAGTATTTATTTTGATTTAAAGGATTTTAAGAGTTATTTTGTTTTTATTTGTATTGACAGAATTTTTTTTGGTACGTTGAAAAAGAACATTTATTACCTTCTTTTTTTTTTTTTTTTATTTAGTAAAATGAGAAATAAATTATATTTTATAGGTACATAAATAATAATATTATGGTAATATGTTAGTATATTAATATATTATGGTATTTTTAGCAAGTACCTGATTTTAATAGTTAATCTTAGTTTAATTTCTAAGTATTTAATATTTAATTAATTTTTGTATACAATTAATTAATAATTTCCATCTTAAATCTTGTGCAATTGTCATTACTTTTCAACCTAATTTTCCCTAGCTATTTTTAGATAAGTCCTTATAATTTTGAATTCAAACATGCATTAATATATACGGTTAAAACTAAAATAATATTTGTATAATTTGATATATTATGAAAAAATATCTGTTTATGTTTGGTTATTTTTTATAACTATACTTATAATGTATTTAAATTGTAAATCACATAAATTAAATATCGAATTTTTTTAAATATTTTTTAGGTATAAAAAAATATACTTGAAAGTTCTTTTATTATAAAAACGTTTTCAAAACTCATTAGTACTATTAATTTGTTTTATTATTATTTTTGTTTTGATTCTGAAATAAATCAATCCACGATTTAAATAAATGCAGAAATTGATTGTATTACAGGATATAAGTGCAATTTAGAACTATCATAATGGAATCATTAATAACAGTGATGAATAAACTGCAAGACGTGTTCTCAACTGTTGGCGTAATACGAAATATCGATCTACCGCAGATCGTCGGTGGGAAGTCAGAGTTCGGGCAAGAGCGTGTTGGAAAGTTTGGTGGGTAAATCGTTTTTGCCTAGAGGCACCGGTATAGTGACACGGGCACCATTGGTACTGCATCTCATCAATTTGTCGGAATGCGAAGAGGAAACCAACAACTGTAAGTCGTTCAATGATTGCGTCACGTTTCAGCATAAGCCGAACGTGGTGTTTCGCGATTTTGATAAAGTGCGCAAAGAAATCGAATTGAAGACGATAGAGCTGGCGGGTGACAATAAAAACATCTCTAACTAACCGATCGCGTTGAACGTTTACTCCAAACCATTATACAAGCAAAAAACTATCAAGCAATCGTTAGAAGCCGAAAAAAAATATTTTCATATGAAGTACCCTACCATTGCGGATAAACACGGAACGATCGTTTTGGGCAAAAGGCTGCAACACTTGTTGATTGCAAAAATTAAAGAGTCATGCCCGGATCTGAAAAATCAAATTTTGGACATGTATAACGCGTATTCGAAGCAGCTAAGGAAGTATTAAGAATTCACCAATAATTATGATCGTTCGCTGCTCGATTTGATTACGCAGATCGTCACCAGTTACGTGGCGTCTTTGGATGAGCAAGCGGCTAATACTTTTTTGACGAAACTCGACGGAGGTGCCGAAATATCGAACTATTTCAAAGTGGTTTTTAATAGGGAAATCGATGAAATCGATCCGCTAAAGGATTGTCCAACGATGCAATCATGAATGTCATCAACAATGCATCGGATACTAGTATGGGAGTGTTTATGCCGGCTACAGCATTCGATCACATCGTGAAAAACAATTACGATAGTTGGAAAAACCATCATTAAAATGCGTCAGTTTCGTTCAAGAAAAACTTATGTCCAACATTTTTAATTTAAACAATGACATAGTGAGTGAACTAAAAAAATATCCTAGGCGTATGGAAAGAATAGTGGATTTATTAGAAACATTATTGAATAAGTACAAGGAAAAATCCAATGATGCTGTTATAAAAATGATACTATACCAAGAAGCGATGATTAACACTCATCATCCGGACTTTATCAAAGCCGTGATAGAGGCCGATTTTTATAAAGAGTTTTTTTTATCAATAAAATTGAATAGACAACAAATGATTAAATACGATTTCTATAGTAGGCATTATTTTAAGAATGAAAAAGTGTATATTGATTTTATTCAAGAGATTTTAAAAGGAAAAATGAGAAAGACTGTCAAGAAAGAAATCACTAAATGAGGAATTTTTGAAAACTGTGTACTTGAATCTAGGGCTCAACTACTTAATTTGTTTATACAGTATTATTTTAAAGTGATTAAAAAATTGGTTCAATATATGATACCAAAAATAATTATGTATGAAATTATTAACAAAATAAAACAAAACTTTCACAAAGAATTTATATCAAATATTTACAAAGCAAATGACCATGAAATAGAAGAGCTGTTGGTTGAGTCTCCAGAAGTTATTAATGAACGGATAAAAGCTGAAAATCGGTTTATTGTGACTGATACAGCATTAAAATTAATGAGGGAGATTCAACAACTTTGTCATGTGTAAATTAATATTATTTTTTATTAATTTTTTTTCTTTTCTGAAAGTAATTATTTTAAATATATTCGTATGTGTATTAATTGATAAAATGTTTCTTAGAAATATTTTATTCTATTATTATTATTTTTATAACATGCACAACACATTTTTTTTTATTTATTGTTAAAAATAGCTGAAAGCTAGTTACTACATTTTAAATTTTATTTTGAGGGTATACCGAAAATATGTGGAACTGATTTGTAAAGTATTATTATGAACGTAATCCATATCGTAAGGTATCGTGCTAGGTGTATATGTTCAACTTGTTATTAATAATAAATGTCATCGTAAAATAACACCAAATTTCAAGTATAAGCGTGTTGGAGTTTTGTAATTTTATCCATAAATTATTAAGTTTTTCAGTAAATCTGAAATTAATGGATCTATAAATAACAGTTATTTTGTATTTTCTAAGATTAGTATTCTTACTTATTTTATTTTTTGTTAAATAACTTTATTTGCAATATTTTATAAATGGGCATAATAAATGAAATGAATATAAAGTATAATAAAATTGCTTGATTAACAGGAGGGAGGAACCCGTTTAGCAATATTACCTCTATTATTAATTTGATAAGTTAAAGTGGGGGGAATCCTTTCTTTTCTACTTTTTTATGTAGTTTTTTTTTTTAATGAAGATCATCTCTTGGCAATTTTCTTTAGTCTTTCATGGTAGATTTTTTGGATGAGCGATCGAGGATTTACGGAAAATTAAGGGGTTACTAACGATGTATGTATTTAAAATATTTGTCTCTAGTTTTTGAATCTTAAACACATAGTATATAATATATTGTATTAATTTAATTTTAAAAAAAGGTCATCATTAAGACATGATAAAATTGATTCACTAAAACGTAAAAGCATCTATCCTAATTTAAAATTTCTAATTAAAAATTTGGATTTTGAATGCTGAAAATCCGGATTTTTTTCATCACTATGGTCTATACGCAACCTGATTTTTTCTATTAGCATGCTCAAAAATATGGAACAATATGTGCAGCGCAGCCAGTATTTACCGCTAGAACTACTAGCTAGTTCCGTCTGTGAGTATAGTCTCACCGAATGGTATTGAATATTTTTTTTCAATGTAAAATTATTTACGCGTGTTCAAATTTATGTAAATATAAAATAAAAAAATTCAATGTGAATGGTTTTACATTATCACATAAACATTAAACATCATTCTATAAATATAATTATGATACATTTTAGATGTTTTAATATAATATTTGTTTTCGATACTTGTACCAGGTAAAAATGATTTATACTATTTTTCGATATTCCATCATTAATTGTTAATTTTTATCGTTCTTCGGTTGCGTTGACCTCACCTATGTTCGTTTGCGAAGACTTGAATTTGGATTTACGAGGACCGTACGGAACGGAATATGTCGAACTTATGCGTACCGAACTAGTATTAGAATTGTGCAATGAACTCCGAATCTACTTCGCGCAATTCGACTTGCATCGGACGTAGTCTGTTTTCGTTACATAAAGCTGTTTGAAACGT